TCTTTCTTTCTTTCTTTCTTTCTTTCTTTCTTTCTTTCTTTCTTTCTGTTTTAAAGATTTATTTATTATGTATATAGTATTCTTCCTGCATGTACACCTGCACACCCTAAGAGGGCACCAGATCTCACTATAGATGGTTATGAGCCACCATGTGGTTGCTGGAAAATGAACTCAGGACCTTTGGAAGAACATGGTGTTCTTAACGTCTGACTCATCTCTCCAGCCTTCCTTCCTTCCTTCCTTCCTTCTTTCTCTCCTTCCTTCCTTCCTTCCTTCCTTCCTTCCTTCCTTCCTTCCTTCCTTCCTTCCTTCCTTCTCTTTGTTTTCCTTCCTTCTCTTTGTTTTCCTTCCTTCCTTCCTTCCTTCCTTCCTTCCTTCCTTCCTTCCTTCCTTCCTTCCTTCCTTCCTTTCTTTCTTTCTTTCTTTCTTTCTTTCTTTCTTTCTTTTCTCTTTCTTGAACAGTAGTATTTGGTTTTATCCCTAGGTCCCTGGACTATCTAGTCTCTGGTTCTTGGTTCCCCAAGCAGTGATGGGTATGTGTTCCATCTTGTGAAGTGGGCCTAAAGTCAAACAAGGTATCGGCTGGTTCCTCCCACAAACTTTATGCCACTGTATGCACTAGCATGTCTTTTAGACAGGACACTGTTGTAGACCAAAGGGTTTGGGGTTGTGGTGGTGTTTACATTTCTTCGTTGGTAGCATGCAGAGTAGCTTCCCGTACCAAAGACCTTAGCATACAGGGATGAAGGCTCAGTGTAGGCACTTTCTTCCTGTTCTCAACTTCTCCATATGCGGTGAGTTGTGTAGGTGTTGTCTACAGCAATGGGTCTTACTGTCAGTTTGTGGAGAGCAACCTATTGGCTTGGCAACACACTGCATTGTTTGGGGACTCCCATGTGACCCTTTTGGCCAACAACTCACATTGATGTAGCCCAATCCAGGTACTGGAAACTTTATTTGGTGACAAGAGATGTCCAGTTGGGGCTCTGTGTTTCCATTATTTGGCAATTTCTTTTAGATAGCCTTCATATATGTGTATACTTTCGGAAACGTCTGCTGTATTAGGTTTCCATGCTACCCCTCAAATGGCCCTTAATTTTATCTGTCTCTCCATGTATTCCCTCCATTCTCTTCCTCTCCCCTCTCCTTTTGATCCTACCATCCCAGCCCCCTCACCCATTCATAGCTACCAATTCTATTTCGTTTTCCCAGCAAGATCTACCTGTCCCCCCAGATCCTTACTCTATATCTAACTCCTGTGGTTCTGCAGATTCTAGGTTACCACTGTAAAACAAGAGCTGTGTGGTTTGTTATAGGTCATTTAGCTTAGTTCTACATTTGGAAAGTGCAGCCAGGAAGACATTTTCCGAATCAGGACCCCATAGTCCAGTATCTTTACCTCCTGTGTGGTTACTGTCACTCCATACATTATTTATGGGCTCTGTGGGGGGACCGTCCCTCATCAGGATCCCGTTGTCTGGACCTCCTCTATGGTAGCTATCATCCAGGGGCCTCAACAAAAAATACTGATGGCTGAGTTGAAGGCAACACGGTCTTTGTCTCCAGAACTTAGTCAAGGTCCAACTCACTCAAGAGGTCAGAATTCTTTCCAGGGTGAGCAACAGCAAACGGAGTAAAAAGCTCTCGCTTGCACCCAGGATGGGGAATGCCAGTTTGTGCAATCAAGCCCTCCTCAGACTTCCCTCTCCCCAGCCCCCCCCTGGTGAGGTGATGAATCAGTGGATTTTCCCCTGGGCCCTGCAGAACTTCCTCCCAAACCCTGGGGCTTTACATCGGTTGTGTCTGGTCCTTCAGAAAAGTGACATACAGGTGTTCAAATCGATTTCTGGGGAGACCGGAGGGAAGCGGTTTGTGAGCGCCAGGGGCGGTTCTCAGGCAAAGTACACACCCAGAGGCCATCCAGAGCAGAGGGTGCGGCGGCAGGCTGGCAGACTGCCCACGTAGGAGGCTCACATTGCTGAAAGGTGGAGACTTGGGCTGGCTTTCCCTGGCTGCAGACATGCTGTGGATCTGGGCTGGCCTGCCTCTGGTAAGCTTTGGGACGCTTGGGACCACCGCAAGGGAATCCAGATCGGCTGGCATTGGATGCCGACCACCCACTCCAGTCCCGATGCTTAGAAAGGGGGGAGCTGCCTTCTCTCCCGGCTGATGGCCAACTCAGATCCCGCAGCTTCAGAACTTCTCTGGTGGAAAGAGTGTAGGTGGGGAACGGCCAGAGCTCGATTCTGGCGTGGTATTGGATAGTTTTGGCGTGACCGGCTGGGAACTCAGGCGGAGAGTCATGCCCAGGCAAAGATCCACTCTGGGACAGGAGAAAGGTTCGTTATGAGGTTGTGTGGCATTTGGCGTTTCTAACAGTTCTCTGGGGAAGTGAGTTGACTCTGGGCTGTGGAACGTACCATTTCTCAAAGTAACTTTAAGAAAGTTACTTTGGCTTGATAAGCCTCTGAAGACTTTACATTCTTGTGACAACACGGAAAAAAAAAACAAAACTATTTTTACTTTCCCTTCCGGGAATTCAGCTGTGAAGCTGTGGGTGGCTGCGCTGGTGGATGTGTTTGCACTGTTGTTCTGTCCAGTTTCTTCTCTCGCTCTCTTTCGGTTGGCTCTCTCAGGGCAAGTTTGTCCCGGTAACTTTTGGGCACGGAGTCCCAGCCCCGTGCCTGGGGCAGACACAGGAGTAAGATCCTTCCAGCACTTGGCCTCTACAGAGAGTTCCCTGCTCAGGAATGCCAGCTTGACAATGGCCAGTCAAAGAGTCTCGACCTTTGGAGGTTCAATCCAGTTCTGAGTGTGGACAGATTGTTTTACTAGGCTCCTAGAAACTCCCAAGCACAACGATCTCAAATCGGTTTTCACAGCAGCAGCAGAGAAAGGAGGAAGGCATCCTCCTCCCCGGCCCCCTACCCCACTGCTAGCATTTACAAGGCGAAATGAAGTTCAGAGAGCTTAAGCAGTGCACAGAGGTCGCAGAGCTATCAAGTGACAGCACTGCTCTTGAACTCAGAGCTAACTCCAAGGCAAAAGCAGTTTGTGCATAAGCGGACAAAATGACCGCTCCATGGTATGCTTAAGGGGAAGGTTTTTATTAGTGGATATAGAAGAGAGAACAGCCAGAGGTATCTGGAAGAACCTTGAGGAGAGAGAGAGAGAGAGAGAGAGAGAGAGAGAGAGAGAGAGAGAGGAGTAGACTGAACATGGCCAGCAGATTAGGCATGGCCAGGACTATCTGGCACAGGGGCTGGGGGATGACAGGGATAGAAAATTGAGAAAACCTAGTGAGAGAAGCAGGAGCAGAGCATGGAGAGAACATAGTGAGAATAGCGGGGATATAGTGAGAAGGAGTAGTTGGGGGATGGCAAGAGGAGTTTGGGTAGGGGAGCAGGTGAGAAGGGTTAGGATGCCAGCATGCACTTTGAAAGGTGTAACAGGTACCTGTGGTTGCAAGCATGTGCTTTGATATGCTGATAGGCACTACAAGTAATCATAAGTCCTTTCTGCCAGAGGTAAGGGAAATGACTTCCCAGTGAATTCCTGGAGGAGGCACATTTAATTAAACCTTCAGCATAAGCAAGCTAGATAAGTTGACAGCATGATGCCAATTCCTTGTCCTTGGCAGGGCATGCATAACATTGTAATCCCCAAAGGCTTCTTTCTAGCCAGTCTTTTCCACAATCCGATTTATGACCCCACCCTTCTCCTATACCCATATTGTTCTATCCAGGGAAAGGACATAAGAGAACAGAGGTCTACCCAAAAGACAGTTTTTCATTCCCCAGCTTTTCTGAATTCCCATGTTCAGGTTTGGGGCTGATTGTCTATCCTGAGTTAGCAAACTCTGGTCAGTCTTATTTTTAAGGGATCTGTAGTCCAAGTGTCAGTCTGTCTGTCATCATCCTCAGTGGTCTTTTTTCAAGGAATCACACTAGTTACTTTAATAGCAGGGGTGGTGTGAGGGTACCTGGCTAGAGTCCCCTCCAGACAGAGTCCAGGGTTTGGGCAGGGACCCTCTTATCCAAACCAAGTCTCCTGGCTGGAACTGGTCTGCAGGTTCAGAGATGAGAGGTGGCAAGATTCCCTTTCCAGTCTGGTCAGTGCTAGTCAGTGGTCTGGAAAGTTTCCAGCCCTATGAGCATGCTGTAGATTTTTAAAACGTCAACCCTTCTTGTCATAAGTTTTAAGCTGACTTTTTGTTACATATTTGTAAGTGTTTTTAAAACCATACCCACTGAGTTTAGAAATGCTGGGTCACAGGAAGTTTACACAATAGTCCTATTACTATTGAGATAAGGTTTATACTTTAGCAAAAGTTTTAGAGACATAAAAAAAGGGGAGTATTTAGAGAGTTAAATAAAACAAAAAAAGAGTATGAGACAAAGGGCAGCAATCGCTATTGGGAAAATTTTACTTCTTAGCCGCTTTAAAGCACATAGTGTTTTCCCTATGTTGTTCTGTTTTGTTGTCCTTCTCTCAAAAGGACAAATGGCCTTGCTTGATCCAGAACAGAGATTCTGTAGGAAACTCTTAAAAAAACATGCTTGGGCCTGGAAAGGGAGGGCCATAACTCAATTCCAGAGCCACCTTGTGTGTGTGTGTGTGTGTGTGTGTGTGTAAATAGAATAGCATGTGACGGTATTTAAATATTATTTATACCCCTAAAGACAGTTGAATCTATGTAAAAATGAATTTACATGGTCAGAGGGAGAGACTTGAGCGATCCAGGGGCAGAAATCCCTTACACATAAGACATTTCTGAGAGTGGAGAGCAGAAAAACTTTACAAACAAGAGATTGGAGAGTCATTTGTTTGTACCATGGCAGAAAGTGTTGCAAACTGTGAGAATTTAGAAATGTACTGTGCCATCTTTGGCCACTGAGTTTTACTGAGTCCAAGCTATTTGCAGTAAGACAGTGTGAGTCAATGGGATGAGTCTGGGTAGAAAAAGATGTTAGAGGAGGCAGGTAAGAAGTATTCTGAATGAGAAGAGCCCAGGGTTAGAGACAGGAGCAAGTTCCAAGAGTGAACTGAAAGAGAGAGGGGGAGAGAGAGAGAGAGAGGAGGGAAGAAGACATCCTTTAGCAGCACAGTGAAGAGGAGGTGGGAAAGGGAGGCTTAGGGGACCTTCACCAGAAAAAAAGTTTCCAATATCTTAGAGGTCTAGGGGTGAATACAAAAATGCCCGGTGTACCTGCAGGTCTCAAATATCAGTCTCCAGTGAGTCAACAAGAGGGGCAGATACAGAGAGGTGAAGAGAGACAAGCAGTTAGCCATAGTTAGAGACACAGCAATTCTCCAGGAGGGAGCTGAGAGACAGAGCTGGCAAGGAGGCAAGCTGGGAACAGAGTGAGGAGATAGAACAAGCTCCAGGAAGGCACTCAGAACATATGGGGAGGGAGAGCAGAGGTAAAGGGAAATTGACTCCTTTGGGCTGGCTTTTTATCTAACTGCCAGAAATCCAATAGTTGAGGCTCAGTTAGTTTCTGGACAGTGGGACTGCCTTTTGGAGTTTGGGGAATCAGAGTTTCTTAAGGACATGACAGTTTGCTCATAGCATCTGATAGCCAGAATATGCCAAGAGTGGAATGGCAAAGGCTCTTATACTTGGCACCTTATGAAGGAGTGAAAAAAAAATCCTTTTGATTCTTTAAGAAGTAGTGTCTAACATTTGGCCTTTAGAAATGTCCTTACGGAATTTTAAGATTCTCCTCAGTGTAAACATCCGTGTCATCATATCATCACTGCAGTGTGGGTGGCTTGGACACACTGTCAGCTCTTACAAATACCAAAACACACCCAGGGAACAGCCTTCCTAAAATAATGTCCGTGTGAATTTTTATGCACATACTAGTACGTAAATATTAAAATTAAATATAATCTGTTATATGTATAGCCTAGGAATTTAAAGTTTTCTAAGTAATGCTGTAAAGACGGATGAGCAAACTTGTAATAATAACTCTGTCCCTGGCATAATCATTGCTGCACTTTATGGTGCCTTCATCTACCCCATGAAACTCTGAAGTTTCCTTACTCAGAACCTGGCCTTGCCCAACATCATGTCCCCATTTTCTAGCACTGTGTCACCTGGTGTGTCTCCTAAAATATGTCTCCCATGTGGCAGGGCTTCTTCAGTTGTAGCACAAATGAAACAGAGGCAGAGTGTGCATGGGAACACAAAAATGAGTTTTGTTAAATAGCACTAGTTTCCAGGGAGCAGATTTGGGGACCGGCTTTCCTTTACCCCCTTTCCTAAGTCTTCCTGTCTCCAATATCATTTACAGACACAGCAGTGGCCTTCTTCCCTCCCCTTGCCTCTTTTCCTTCTCTGTGCTTCTTAGAGATTCTTTTTCCTTGCCTAGCTTCTGGAATTTTATTATTATTATTAATTATTATTATTATTACTATTACTATTTTTGTCTAATGAGTAAGTCTGAAGTTCCAAAACTTTCACAAAATTTTAGAGGCAATAGGAAAACAGTTTATTTGACTTTACTCCATGTGTATATGTTGTGTGAGTTCCACGTATGTGTGTGTGTGTGTTTGTGCTTGTGTGTGTGTGTGTGTGTGTGTGTGTGTTATGAAGTGGGGCAAGCCCCTTGAAAGTTTTATCCTTCAGTATTTAGGGATGTAACCGATCAGTTGAGAGACAGCCTCTTTCCTCATGTTTCTTAGTGCACTTGTTAAAAATGATGGTTGAAGAAAGGGAGAGGTGATTTTGAAAGGAAACGGTATATTTACAAGTAATCCTATGGAAGAACCATACTACTGTGGGTAGTTTGGTTTGTTTTGAAGAGTGGACAAAGACAGCTGCTTAATTTGTAATTTAATCATTTTCTTTAAAACAACTCTAGAAACATGAAATGTTTTCTGTATTTTGAAAGTGCTTTATTTATCCCCAAAGGGACTTGAAAATTTTATGAGTGCAGTAACAGGACTAAATATAAACTTAAGCGTTAGAAACAAGGATGGAACAATTCAAGTTTGTGGGTTCTGGAGCATTGAATCCAAGGTCTTGTGTGTGCAAGGCAAGCA